GTAGCAGCACGTGATATGCCTGTCTTCCTGGAGCTTCTATGTTCTGGTGGGGGTGGTGGGAATCCAGCAAAGGCCACCTACCACAAGATGGCAAGTGCTGTGACAATAAGGATCTGGAATAACCACATAAGAGTGACTTTTCCCTCTAACACACACCGTGCCATCATGTCAGGTTGTATCCAGGAATCTGAACTTGGTGCCATGAAAATGGTGCCTTTGTAGTCCTCCAGCACTGATACGGTCTGGCAACACTCAACTACAGATGACACAAGCCACAAAGAAGAGATGTGGAAATAAGTTGACCATGCCACTGTTGACCAATCAAGTGAGCTACATGAAAGGTGTCTTGGGTGATAAGCATCCTTAAGAATCCAGACTGTGAGTTTTGATATTACAGGGATGAAGCATTGATTAAAAAAAAAAACCCCACAAAAACTAATGTTGTTATACTATAGTCCATAGTGCTCAGTAGGTGTTAGATTTTGCTAGTGGTTCATGTGCTTTGATTTCATAATTCAGACTTTGTACAGTTGAGGACTTGTCCACTAAAAGTGAGGGAATTGCTTCTTTTTCATTGTTAACTAACAGTGAAAATGGTTTTTGACAGCAACTCTACTTAAAATACACAGGCACAGCCATCATTCAATCTGTATGAGAACCTGCCAGTCCCCGATGGCTGAGCGGTAACCATCCTATAGAATTCAGCGGCACAGCCACTGTTGACAATGGTAATGAACATGTTCATAATAATAATAAGGGCTTGTTTTAATAGAACGTTCCACACATTAAACACATTAATGACCCATGAAATAACTGTTTTATCTGTAACACATTAAGCGACATTACTAAAAACAATGTATTAATTGGTAGTGGGCTATTTCTTTGAATGTAAGTTTTTTTCCTTTGAAAGTATAAGATAGCAGGAAAATCATTTCATAAAGATAAAAAATAACAATCAAAATTAGAACCATGCTGAATGTGTAAAGAAAGAAAAACCTGTAAAATAAGTTCTGTAATTTTAGACATGTCATTTAATAAGCTCCCACTTTTCTGTACATAAAAGCTATCTACCTGGATTTCGAGTTAAGCATGTTATATATAACTCAGACTTTGAAGCTTGAGTCCTTCCACAGCCTTTTCTCCCTCACCTGAACAGATCTAGACACTTCACACTCAAACCTGCTTTCTTCACCTCCCCCTTTTTCAATTTGCAACCACTACCTTTGATGTGTTACAACACCAACCAACACAGCATTATCTACACACACACACACACACACACACACACACACACACACACACACACACGAACCCATGTGTGCTATCACAAATAAATCCAAAGCAACATCAAACAGAACACGCAGGCCCTCTACACAGGAAATATAATGCAGGCAGGAAACGTGTATGAATCATCAGTGTGTTTTATAAATTCTCTTTTGAGGGGGGCATACAAAATATCAAACTAGAGACAATTACCTCACTGTCTGTTTCTTAGATATCAAAGAGAATTTTGAAATTCATCAAAGCTAACCTTCTGTTATGTACAACAGGCTGAGCTGAAAGGAATGTTAACAAGTTCAATTTTCATTCAATCAGCAGTACTGCTCTCCGAAATGTTTCATTGCAGGAAAGAAATAAAAATAATCTATATGGTAATTATGAGAATGAATCCCCCAGTAACTTTCAGCTACATGAAAGGTCAGTTCTATTCAAGATATTTTATCAGCCCCCTGCACATACTCCTGTCCTGTCATTTTAAATCTGAACAGCATTTTATTTTCCCATTTACAGCTACCTGCAGAATTAAGTACTTAAGCCAAATAAGAAAAAAAAAAAGAAAAAAAGAAAAAGAAATGTTGAATGCTGGCAAAGGCTATAATAGCATAGAGATAAATCGTTCATCTGCTCTCTCTCAAGCCTCTGGGGCTGCAGATTTTTCTTCTCCTGGTGCACTGTGGGTATTCAAAACTTGTTCAACATGATTTCATTTCATTTCAGGCACTGCCTGAGAAAACTAAATTACAGAATCAATCATACAGAAGGTCAGAGTGAGACTTCATTACAAGTATTGCATGCTTGCATGAATATCTTTCATTTATGACTGACCCAATATGTCACAATAGCTGTCTAGTAAAAATAATCCACTTTCTGAAATTGATGTACTACTGATGTCGGTGCTACTCAGCAGGCTGGGCAGATTATAGAGAGGTGTTTAAAAAAAAAAAAAGCTTTGGAGCTTCATTGTTGGTTTTCAGAATTGCAATCTTTTTTAGATTAAAATAACTTCCAGATGATCAGTTAAACTGACAATAATGTTTAAAGGTAACAAATTTTTAAGTAAAATCTACTGTTGCTTTCGACCTGCCCAACCACATCCTGTTTTAAAAATCTCCGTGCCCACCACAAGCAAATCAGGTTGTTCTTTGAAACTACAAATGCACGGACATTCAATTTTTCAGCAATTCTCTTTTGAATACCAGAGGGGTATTTGCATATTCTGAAATGTGAATGCTAATCATTGGACTCTTTTTAATCTCTCTCTCTTTTCTCGTCTGCTTTCTGTTTTTAAATATAATGGCATAAATTTAAGGAAGATAAACATGTTGTGCTTGTTGCCAACAATCATGCAGCCAATCAGGACTGTGACAAACAGGGAGTCTTTCTAAAGCAAAGCCGACAGAGCTCTGCGGAAAAGCTGGTCCGATATGACATAAACAAACTGGCTTTTCTTCTTATATGATAGGCTTAATTCACCATAGCAATCCCTCACAGACAGCCATATTCATTTGGATAATAAAACTTGTTACTTGCATAAGGTATGAAATATCCCACATGCACTAGGATGCTGAATGTATGATGGATACAGTATTATTTATTATTTCTGTATTGACCCTCCTATAGGAGATCTCAGAGGAGGCTTCTGTGGAGTATTACCATGTAGCCAGCAACTCCATATCCGGAGGGAGATAGAAAGGAACCTTGACATAACCTATTTTTAACCATGCCTCTGGCGATTCTGAATTCAAGTTTACAGGTGAACATGTCAGCAGTCCACAGAACAAAGCCAATGACACATTGTATTCATCATAATTCTGTCCTGGTACATTTTATTTTTCCCAACATTTGTGATTTAAAATCCCATGACATTTTTCAAGGTGAAATTCTGCTAGAATTTCCAACAAGATTAGTTTGCTTCAAGCCAAAATAAATAGCATTCAGGTTGAGCAGAACTTCAAGCCAGCAACCATAGCCATGATGAGGTCCATGTAAACACAAGAGCCTGCACTTAAAGTACCTACACTTAAAAAAAAAAATCAATGGAATAATTGAACTGCTTTAGTGATTAGCCATACATTACAAAGAAAGCATTAAAAATTGAGTCCTCCATTCTAACGCCAGCCCAGGAAAGCATTGTCTTTAAGTGTATGTGAATATCATAATTATTTTATGATTCCATCTTTAGTTCTTTCCAATATAGTAAATTCAATTGACCATGAAATGAAATTTCATAGTCAAAATGCCTCCTTTACACTTTTTTATAGCAGCAATAACAGTTTTATAGCTTTGAGGCAAGGTAATTCATCAGATGTTTAATTTAAAGGCAGATTCTTATATTACTAATAAATATTTACCAATTTAATAAAGTACACATTTTAGCATATATTATATGGTCTTTTAAGTATTTCTGCAACTTGAATGAGCCTGGCTGAGCATCTATAAATATGGCCAGCGATAGCAAACTCCCTTGGTGACTAAACACCCTTTTTATCTTTATTATTTTCCAAGTACATTACAAGCTAGACTGTAGAGGAAGATAGAATCCTCCATTCCACTGTCAAAGAGACAAAAATGTAAGACAGTCCACAGAAAACAATTATTTGCAATGTCAGGGAACATTTATGAATACTCAGTGACTATTTCCTGCCTTTTTACGGCATTCTTCTCTGACAAAAAAAAAAAAAAAGCAAAAATGAAAACCTTCGTGTTCAGCTCAAACACAAAAGATCACAGGCAAAGAAAATTATGTTGCTGAAATCCTATTTGGGAAAGTAATCTTACATTTCAGAAAGCACACTGAATCTTTGCACTGTTAATCCACTACATATTTTGCAATCATACGTTGTTATCTGGGGAATTAAAAATGAAACCAATAAACATCGCTGGCATAGTCCTAATGCACAGAGAAATATGTAAACAAGCAGTAGGATTTGTTTTTGTTATACCAACACATCTGTCTCACTTTATCAGGGTCTGAAAAAAAAAGAACACTATAAACTATTAATCTTGTTTTAGGATGCCTGGTTAGCACCTTACTTGCACAGACACAAATGCACTCTGCACTGTGCTGAAATAAAAAGATACAATCCCAGCAGAAGAGTTTAAAATACTTAAGCAGATTTACTCCCATGATTGCTGACTATAATTGCACACCAAGAAAAATAGAAATAAAATTATCGCATTAGTAATCTTTGCTCTCTAGAGTGCCTTATTCGATGTTTTTGACAATAAATAACACAATTAGGTATATTTTCACACAGTAACTCAGGCCGTATTTTCCTCTGCAGATTTTTCCCCTTTCCTCTGTATCGGTTTGGTATTTGATCCAAGATGAGAACAAATCATACATCATACACATTATGTTCTAATTCAGTAAGTTCAAATAACCTGGGCACCTAAGGCAGGCTTCCATATTCAACTGCTCACCTGAGTAAGCTCACTGCAAACATACCTCCACATTGAAACAAAGGCAAGGGAAGACCAGCTACTTCCAAAGCAGTGTGTAGCCTCCCTAAAGTTCATTTCACATAGAAGACTCTTGTTGGCCATCCTCTATGTCTGTCAATCACCCAATACCAGATAGCAATCTAGTATTATTATGTTTTAAGGACAATCAGAGCATGATCTAAGTACCCATCAGAGACAACAGCCCCTCAGCTGTTACCTTACCACGTGAGGACAAATGACAAAGAGTAGTCACAGGTAGCGAGTGGGTTGCTTACCATATGCAGCCCATTGCTATGAAGTACACCATCTTGCTCCACCAGATTTCTTGAGATTGTAATGGAAGGGAGATCCAGGCTTTGAGGGGGAAACTGGGGTGTGAACTCATTTCCCTGGGAAGGCAACGGATCGCTGAGAGCCTGAAAGGGTAGCAGTACATCGGGCATGCCCAGGGTGGGGTCCGACTCTGGAGGAGGCGTGATTGGTGGAATTTCAAACTCTTCATCCCCAAGGCTTGGTGTGTGGAATGTCTGCTAAGAGGAAACAAAATACAAACACCCTCACATTCAGTTCCTGTATTTTATTCTCCCCTTAGAGGGAAGAAGACAGACTTCCCATGAAAACATTACATAGCTAGGCCAAATATTTACTTCTCAGATGAAAACATTTTAAACACAGATTTCCATATCTAAAGTTTTGCTGATCATTCTGATTAAAGATTTAAGTCTCATTATCATATGGTTTTAATGGAGTATCAGTATTAACAGTTTTTTAATGCGTACTTAATTAGCAACATCTGTCTTTGTTGTTAGTTGGAGCATCGGCGACATTAGATTTGGCTATATAACAAATTGCCACTTTATTGATATGTTAGCGAAACAGCTCAAATCGCTTACTCGATCAACATGCTTCATAAAACGCTGACCATTTTGCAGCATGCACGCACGCGCGCGCGCGCACACACACACACACACACACACACACACCGTTAACCCAGATGTGAACATTACACGTGTTTACTTTCTGCCACAACCTATAAAACAAGTAATATTAAATTTGTGGTTTGGTTTTTAAATTTTTCTTTATTGGCATATTCCCAAGAGTAATAAAGGCTTGTATAGATTGTTATTGTGTCACATGTTTTCTGTAAGGACTACTATGGCTCATATTAAAAGATGCCGGTGCTTTTATTGAAACTATAAGAAGAATTGCTTTCTTTTGCATGAACATTTCCATATGCATTTGTCCAAACACTGTCTACCAGACTTCAACTTCTAATGACTATCTAGCAAAGCCATACTGATATAGCTACACTAAGTATTTGGGCATGAGCACTGCCTATCAACTCACTTAGATAATGCTATGTCATAGAACCTATGTAAATATTAGTGCATTGTTTTTCATGAATGGTACTGATGTTCTTACAGGCTTTGTTTTAAAGTAGGGTGTTTGGAGAACATCAGGCCTGCCTTGCATTCCAACTACATTAAGCATCTTTGTCTTAACATGTGGGTCATGTGGGGAGAGAAGAGAACTAAGATCCAAGATTGATTATTATTATTATTATTATTATTATTATATTATATACATGTATACACCTAGATTTTGGTGAGTCACAAAGTTTGGGGGCCACCTAGATATATTTTTTATTACTAGCTAGGCAGGTCACAGATGTAGTTCATTTATTATTAATAGTATTTGAAAGATTGAACTGGAATGGGGTAATTGGAGTCTGCTATTATTGATAAAGAGACCTAATTAAGAGCTGAAAATCATCATTCCTCAAACTCTTAATTATGATGCTAGATAATAACTACCTGAAAGGAAAGAGAAACAAACTCAGTGTAGGGTGGGGTTCAAGGAAAAGCATTTTTTGTGCACAGAACCTGACGAGCATTCTTTGCAACTCACCAGAAGGAAGAGCTCATGAACTAAGGGAGTTGGTAGCAGGGCAAGCGGCCACCTTGAAGACCTTGGTAGGCTCAATAAATGTAAAAACACTGCAACCTTGCAAAGCATTTGAGAGTCGGAATGAAACATTTGATATTCTGACATGGGCATTCTTGCAATGATACCCAAAATGTCAATCTCTTAGTGTGGTACCCTGAGTTCTTAGCAACAAAGGGATGAATTGGCCACAAACGTGGTTGGCTAATGAACGTAACCCTATGGCTGCGTTTGCTGTTATTTTGGCACTAATGTGGTCTAGTAACAGATGCAACTGTAATTTGTGACTCATTTGCTACCCCATTACTGCTTAATGAAATCTAACATATCACATTAACAATACGGATAAACACTCATTCTTGATATGTGGCATTTGGCTGTTTTCATTACCACTGTAATTAACACTTGAAATATTATTTCAATAAATATTTAAAGTACTTTAAAAATGGTCAGAGTAATCATGACACAGATAGAAAACATGAAGCTAATGTGTGAATTTCAAACTTAAGAGTATCCTGGTCCTTGCAGTGTTATTATTGTAGGGCACTGTCCCTGTGAAGGGAACTGATTTCAGGCACAATTTAGGCTTTACAGCTTGCCAATCTAAAGTCTTCCAGAATTAGTTTGCACTCGTTAAAATGTTAAAAAAATACAGATAAATTTACTTTTAATGCAGTAATTGGGAAATTAGATGAGAGCTATAATGTGGCACATTAGCAATTACTCTGCATTATTTTTTGATCACAGAAAGACGCACAGTAAAGCCATTACATAAGATCTTAGACTCCAGTATAAATATAGCTCACCTCAGGCCAGGCAGTCAAAATTAAAGAGGTTTTCAATTTTTTTATTTTTGCAAAGGAATATAAACAAATATGTTATATATAATATGCCCCTGAGGCATAATCATTTTTAAAGACAAATTAATTTAAGTTAGAAGATATATATATGTCTACATTGACCTAATAAAACAATGCAATATAATAACATTGTAATATGTAACCAAGGAGATGCTAAAATCTTAACTACCTTTAAAGAGAGGTAAAATATTACATGTTGAGTCTCTACAGAGATAAGAGAGAGATTAAAACATCAAATTTAATATTAAGTACTGCAAATCCCAAACGTTGTGTTCTGAAAGAATACAAGTCACCATAAATCCCATCAGCAATGAAGCACATGGACTTTTGACCAAATGAATCATTTAGCATTTATGTGATCAATTTTTACTGATATTGACTTTTTAGTGTTTACCTTGAACATGTTAAAGTAGTATGTGCATGGTTAAATACCATCTGTACCGAAATGTTCAAAACATTTGTTCCTTTTGATAAGAATGCAAATCTGGAGAACTGTTGTATCAACATATAACAGCCGACGTCTGACACGGTGAATTATCACAGCTGGAATTAAATTGTTTCTGAACAGCTGCTGGCAGCACAGCTTTCATCAATGTTTGATTCAAATGTAGAGGGGAAAAAAAATCCCACAGAATGAAACATCATGTTGTCCTTACAGATGGGGTTTGTGTTCATTATCCCAAACAGCACAGCAGCCAGTGCCAAACAGTATTCCTGTATCTAAGCTGTCTTCTGATTGGAAAGATGATGGTCACTGGGAAATGATTAATCTACAAAGACCCTTACTTCTCCAGTCTCCACTTATGCTAATAATTTTTAGACATTAATTTCTTTCATATCACTTGCTCCCTTGTACCTAGATCATTTGCAAAGCCATTATTATTTTCAGTCTCTGGGGTCAAGCTAGTTCACTCTCCTATATTTGAATGTATTTGGAAAATGAAGACTTTTTATTGCCCGGGCCACAGAGGAACTGTTCCATTTGGATCGATTTCATACTTTTGTCTGATCTTGTTTGAAAAATGTTAAATCTCACAAAATCTACCCTTTTAGGAAAATGTTTCCTTGATCTAATCCAGTATCTTGAGGAGGTTTTTTGGTTTTTTATTGTTGTTTGGTTTTTGTTGTTGTTTGTTTGGTTGGTTGGTTTTTCCAGAGGCATGCCAATGAGACCAGACAAAGGTGGAAAATCACTAGTAAGAAACATAGTAGAAACAACAAGAAGGCAATGCTTATACCATGTATACCCACAACCAGCACAAAGCAGGAGTTAATATGACACTGCATGGAGAGGCCATCACCCAGAATTCCAGCTATAATCACATATTGGAGCATGTCTACTCATTGACTCAGACACTCAACAATTTCACATTGAACATCTACTATAGTGGGAATTGTGCTAGTATTGTGTTGTTGCTAACAATAAAATACTCATTGCACATCACTCTAGAAACCATAACACTGTCGGCCATAGTTTCCTAAGGCACAACACTCAAGGATGTCATCCTTAGCAAGCCATGAAGCAAAAATACTTTCTATTAAAGTTTCCAAACTAAGCAGTTATCTACTTAGACATCCGGTGTGTGTGTGTGTGTGTGTGTGTGTGTGTGTGTGTGTGTGTGCACGTGCGTTCGCACATGCCCCGAAGCGCTCCCTTGTGCTTTCTACTACATATTCATTAGTTTGTGTATGTCCTTTTTCCATCAGAAGATTCACTTAAGTTCCAAATGTTAACAACAGCCTGTGGACAGTGATAAAGTCTTGTTGGGTTATTTTCTTTTCCAATAGGCTTTTCTCATTTTCCTCCAAAGTTGTTACCTTGTGCCACAGGAGAGTAAGACTATGAGAGAGAAATTCGATACCTTGCTTTTCCCTTCAAGACTATTAAATTAACTATACAACACATAAAACACGAACAGACACAGTAAGACAGACACCCACCTCGCTGGCAGCAAAGAAGGCGTTGTTTGCCTCAGCCATGTTCATGTAGTTATTATTTCCAAACTGAAAAAAAAAACATTGATTTATGTTAATGGAGAGCAAAGCAAACCCTGTAGTTGGTTATTTAATACTCAGAGGTGATTTGGGAAGAAGGCCAGTGTAATGGGGATCATGGACTAAACTAAAAATGTGAAACCGTATGTACTGTCAGTCCACTCCTGTCACCACTAGAGCATGGAGTTATGCTGTCAATAATTCTAGAAAATAGTTGCATTTCTCCCCATAACTGACAGTGAAAGGAGACAATTGCAAACATTTGGATGTCTGGTCACTAGTGTGCTGTATATTAAGCTGGAATTTGTCAGAGATTGGAAGCAAAGCAGTTCCCAGAAAAACCACTTGGACATGCTTGAATTTCATACCTTACTTTTTAAGAACAGGTGTCACAAGTGTGAGCAAGTTGAAAATGTGAATTAAAGGGAATACAATTCAGTTTCGGAAACTCAAATTCTATGTTCTGGTGAATGGGGTGTAGTATGAATATAAATAAATAAGACTAAAGAATATTTCTAAAATCTCCAAGCAGAGCTTACCACCATATCTAGCTCTATCAGAGCTACTGAAAGCCGTACTATTTAATCTCTCCATGTAACATTAAGTGCAAAGAGGTTTAGAAAATAAGCAGGATCCTATGAACACAGCAATTTTTATTTCATTCCCTAACACAATGGCCCATTCATATCATCGCAAATAAGACTGTATCAGCATTTCAGACATAAGCTCTTTACTTCCAGGGACCTGTTATCAAAATGTAAAACTTGGATTTGGGCAGAAATGTATTTTTAGGTTCAAATGGTCCAGGTAGGCGTATTTTGTTGCTTTCAACATTCTGCTATCAGTTTGGCAATATGGGAAGGCTCTGTGGGCATAATTATCTGAAGCTGTGTTATTTTCATGATGTTTAAATGGTAAGAGAATGTCCTTGTATAAAGTATTCTATTCATTTCATTTAATGCACAAAAAGAAACACAGATGTGGTCTCCAAGGGGTGAAATGTATACAGTTATTTTCTAATATATATTCGAGCTAGCAATTACACCAAAGTAAAAAGTATAATTTTCCCAAGAGATAAATAGGTAGATCAATGGATAGTTGAATGAATGGGTGGATGGATGAACATATGGACAGTGTTAGAAATAGGTAGTAGATACTCAGACACATAAGAGGTTGATATAAGGAATAAGTAGAAAATAGATACACAGATATGGAAAACCCACATAATCCTCCTCTCGGTACCACTTATGTCAAAGAGAAGCTCAGTCCAACTCTGAACCTGTAGGAAGCAGGATTGACATGCTACATTTTATCATGTCAGGGAACCAAGAACTAAGCAAGATTTATAGGAAAAACTCTAATGACTCTAGAGTGCTATTAAGGTCTACAGAGGCAACATCAACCACCACACAACATTTCAACACACACACATATGAGCTATCAGACACACACACACACACACACACACACACACACACACACACACACACTTCTCCATTTTTCTAGTGTTAAAAATATGTCAGAACAAAACCCCATAGGCTTCTGTTGTGCATTTTTTTCATGAAATGTTCAGGCCTATAATCAAATATGATCCATGTTTGAATCTATATCCTCCATGTTTCGATCCTGCCCGGCCCCCAAACTGCCTGGCAGTCAGTATCACAACTTTAACATTATTTAAATGTCGGCTTTGCTGGGGAATTAGAAATCCATTTAAGGCAAAGAGCTCATTATCAGAGAGTATTTCTTTTAAGATTAAACTCACTTATTATCTAATAGCACCTAGAACAACAAAGGAAAATAAAATGGCCATTAAACTAAAGGCCTAAACAATTCAAGAAAAAAAAAAAAACCCAAAAACAAATTAAGCTCAGAGTGAACTAAGAACTGGGTTAGAAATCCTCTTCAGAACAGTTAGTATGCGAATGTAATTACTGAAGAAACTACAGCTAATCAGCTGTGAATTGTATCCATTAATTAGTATTTGCCCTGGAGAAATGAGAAAAATCAGTAACAACACTGGCACCACCACAGTGCTGATGAGCTGCGTGCGGGCCGAGCTGCTGCGTTTAGTCAAGCAGGTGGCTCCAGTGGTCCACATAATTTGAAAAGCTCTCACCTGGAGGGGGGAGTTGGAGCGGACAGAATACTCCTTGCATATCTCTTGTATCTGCATAAGGCCTTAATTAATAGCTTTTAATTTGGAAGCACTTGGTGATCGGGAGGAAACAGTTATAAATCATTTCAAGTAGAAGCAAGGGTTTCTCTTCTACCTGGGGTAGAACGTGTCCTGTTTAAAAGGTGCCTTCAGACGTTGGCTGGTGCAGGGGATTGTTTTTCTTCTGCACATGGGGCTGTGGGGATGTAGTTACCCTAATAACAACAACAACCCAATTCTTTATCTGAAACCCACATTTCATTGAGTGCTGTGTTTTCCTTTTTTTTTTTTTTTTGTTTGTTTGTTTTTTGGTTTGGTTTGGTTTGTTTTTTGAGACAGGGTTTCTCTGTGGCTTTGGAGGCTGTCCTGGAACTAGCTCTTGTAGACCAGGCTGGTCTTGAACTCACAGAGATCCACCTACCTCTGCCTCCTGAGTGCTGGGATTAAAGGCATGCGCCACCAACACCCAGCTGTGTATTCTTTAATGACTACATCCAGCCATTCTAGAAGCCACAAGGAAAGGGGTGGCACTTTTAAATTTTGTTTTTGTTTGAGACATGGGCTTGCTATGGAGTCCAGGCTGCCCTAAGAACAGTTCCTAATCATCCTGTTTCCACCTCTTGAGTGCTCAGCCTCAGGGGTGTGCCACCATGTCCCCTTGTTTATTTCATGTTAAAGTGTGGTCTATGAGCCCTGCCTCACTTGTTTGGTGTTTAAGAACAGATCGGATTCTGAGAGGAAAAGTACTCCTTTGGGGTAGAGCGCTAATATAACGACCTAAGAACAATTAACTTTGAGTTGTGTACAATTAAATTTAGTTTATGTTTGAGAAGGCAGTGACATTGACAAAACCATTATACTACACACACCCTCCATGCCCAGGAGAAAGGGGCCTTAACTGGGCTCCCCATTGCCATACTCCGGGCTAACCATGCCTGGCATATTAGAAGCAGTCCAGAATTTGTTGAAAGGATGAAAGTCTGATCCCATCAAACTGAGGTGACCCATAATCACCCTTGCTACCCAAGGTCATCCGTTAAATATTTTAATGGTAATTAATAATGAGTGGTACCCATGGAAGCCTTCTGTATGATTTTTTTTTTATTTTCCAAAGTGGGATTAAATGCAATCAATTTGTCCTAACAGCCAACAAGACAGAGTTACTATCATACTTATTTGTTCTAGGTCAGCCGACCAAGGGTGCAACGGGTCAAATCACCTGCCCCTGAGGATTTGAGCAGGCATAGCTGGCATCCCCCAGCTTCACTCCATGCATCCCTCACATGCTAGGACCCATATACGCTTTACTCTTTCACTTGGTGATCAACTCAGATTTTAAACTTTATTGCTAACTCTATTATTCCAAGCTGGAATTTCCTGGAGGGTATGCTAGTTCCCAAGTATATTATAATGTTCCTTAAGGAAAGGGTTCCACAGTCCAATGTATCTGAGAAAGGGTTTTGATGAGCCTCAATGTCTTCTACGAATCTAAAGGCTTTGTGAACTCTCAGTCTGTTTAATCTACAAATAAATATATGACACCTGTTTACATCACTGTGTTAGGCCTGGGGACACAATGGTGACACAAATGAAGTTCCCATGGACTACTATTTTTTTTTTTAATGGAGGCCATAGATACCTGCCCTTCCCTCCAGCCCACACACCAAAAAGAAGAACAATAACCCTGTACATCTCTCCATTTGTTTACCTCACAATAACCAAGCTCTTTGGGAATCCTGACTGCAGAGACACTGACAATGCTTCTATCCCCCCTAACCCTCAATCCCCCAAATCACTCATATGGAAGCTAACCCTAAATTTTCACTGTAGCAAAATCTACACATTTAAAAATCAACTACAAGTTTTTAACTTTCCCATCCTACGTCACCTTAACTTGGTCTAGCTCTAATTTTTTGAGTTGATAACCTCCACTGACATTCCTCCAAAGACCCCTTACTCAGTCATATAAAGGTCTTGATGCATTCTCAAGACTTATTACTGTGACGGACACAAAAACATCATCCAAGAATAAAACCTCATTCCCAAAGTCTTAGGGAGAATACACGGGTGAGACTTTTGACCTTCAAGAGGAGCACAAGTGGTACCATTACCATGGGTTCTTATCCACACTGATGAACTCCAATAGAGTCTATCCCAAAGACATCATCCCCAAAGATGTCATTATAAAGGAGAAATGAATTACTCCACACATGGAGCTCCTGTCTCTTAACAGGTTCATAAAAAAGCATCCCCACTGTACTCAGAGGTGGATTTGCTTTTGTTGCATGATGAGTAATTATGGCTTCAGCAAACACAATTTATGAGGGACATCAATTAAAAAGGAACAGTGTGGGATTTTGTAGAAATGCATCAAAGAACATCATGTCCATGGCCCATGTGACTGTGTGAAGTGCCACAGTAAATTAATGCAGATTGGAAAGTCTGGCTCAGCTAGCAACAGGCTTGGGACAAAGTAGAACAGCAGAGACAAAACCCCATCTGTAACCACAAGGCAGATACTTGGACTTAGCCAGTCCACAGCATCATCTCCACTGAAATTATTTTGACACCCTTGTGAAGAATTGTATAGACTTCTAATAAAGCAGCCATTAACAATGGGATCTCAAATGGCTAAACGGCACAAACCTAATAGTTAAAAAACAAACCTTCAAATTCTCCTTTTTCTTCATTAAATTTTTTAAAGGACACCATCCCACTTGATGCTTCACCCAGACATCTGTCAGTTACTTACACAAACAAACTATGTAGCTATGGACCAAGTGTGCCACACCTGGCCATGTGATGGAGGGGGCAGCAGGCGAAGCCCACTCAACCTTGATGGCTCTGA